GAGAGAGAGAGAGAGAGAGAGAGTGGTGTGTGTGTGTGTGTGGCCAGCTCAGCCCACCAGGGGGCGGGGCTGGCTGGCATGTGGTGCTGGGGAATTGAACCGCGGTCCCTGATGCTTTGCCAAGCTAGTTCCAAGTAGGTGCTTTAGACCACTGAGCCATCTTTCCAGCCCCTTTAATTTTTGATGTAATATACTTTTATCACTGACTGTCCTCTGATACTGCTTTTTTTCTGATGTTTACTTTGCATTATGCTTGGTTAATGTTTATAATTTCTACAAAGATTTTTTTTTCTCGTCTTTTTTTTTTTTTTTTTCTTTCTTTTTTTTTTGTGGTGCTGGGGATAAAACTCAGGGATTCTTGTAGGCTAGGTAAGTGCTCCACCCTTGAGCTATAGCTCTAGCCCTTTTACTTATTTTTTATTATCGTAAAACTTCCAAGAGATCCACCACCTTAAGAAAAATTTAAGCTTAATGTATAGTAACTCTTGTAAACAGTATTGTATAGCAAGTCTCTGGAATTTTTTTCCTTTTGTGTAACAGAAATTATACCCATTGGATTTCCCGTTTCCTTCCTGCCCCAGTATTCAGAAAGAAATTCCATATAACCATCCAACTTTTTGTTTCTGTGAATTTGATTATATTAAAAATATCTCATGTAAGTGGAAAAAAAATAGGAAGCAGAAAATAACAGCTCAACAGCTGCAAGACAATGCAAAGAAAAACGGTATGTCAATGAAAAAGCAGGAGTCAACACAGATGACATAAAGCCTGTTGACAAGTGTAGTAACAGAAAATTTCCCAAGCATGGGAAAAGAATCTGACATAGAGTTAAGTGAACATACAGAACCCCAAACTTACCATAACCAAAATAAATTTACACCTAGATACATAATAAGCAACATCCCAGAAACTGCCAAAGAACAGAATATTAAAAGCTGTTAGAGAAAACAAACATCACCAATGAAGGAAAACCCATTAGAATCAGAGCACATTTCTCGACACAAACAACCGAGTCAGAAAAAGCTTGGAATAAAGTACCTAAGGTCCTGAAAGAAAACTTCCAAATGGATGTCACCTGCAGAAAACTTTCAAAATTAGTGGAGAAATGATACTTTCACAACAAAGAACAACTGAAGAAATTCATGATTCATGACCACCAAACCAACTATACAAAGAGTACTGAAAGATATAAAGGAAGAGGTAGAAATGACATTTCCAAGCACAATACAAATAAAGCACCAAGCACAGCAAGCAACTGAACAAAAAGGAAAAGTAGGGAACCAATAGCAGCAAAACAACATGACAAAGTTAAGCCAACACGTATCAGTTATAATTATCAGTGTAAATGGTCTCAATTCACCAGTCTAAAGAAGCAGATTGGCAGAGTGGATCAAGAAACAAAATCCAACAAAATGCTGCATACAAGAAAACATTGAACTCAAAAGGAAATTCACAGACTGAAAGTCAAAAGATGGAGAGCAGTACTCCATGTGACAGGAACCCAGAAAACAAGCAGGGGTAGCTGTTGTTTGCAGATAATGTGAACTTCAAGAATGATCCAGGGAGACAAAGAAGGTCACTACGTACTTGTTAGGGAAAAACTGCACGAAGAAGAGGTAACAATCATAAACATACATGCACGAAATACGGGAGCACCCAACTGTACAAGGCAAAATTCAACAAATGAAAAGCAGTAACACAATTGTAATGGACTTTAACACCCCACTGTCACAAAAAGATCAAATAGGCAAAAACAGCAAAGAACAGAACTGAACCACACTTACAAAGAAATGGATTTAGCTCTATCCAGTAACATCACCCAGTAACATCACAGTACATGTTCTCAACTGTACATGGGGCATTCTCTAAAATAGACCTTATATAGGCGGTGGAGATAGCTCAGAGGTCTACGCGCCTGCCTAGGCAAGCATAAGGACCTGGGTTCGATCCCTAGTACCACATGTTGTGCCAGCCTCTCCCTGGGTGTGCCAAGCCAGTCACCAAGATTGGGCGTGGTGATATACGCTTGTAATCCCAGTTCTGGGGAGGCTGAAACAGGATCACTATGCGGTTGAGCTGCATGGTGAGACCCTGTACAAAATACATTTGAAAGAATAAAATAGATTATATACTAGCTCACAGAATATACTTATGTAAGTGCAAAGGAACTGAAATTATCCCATATTATCAGACCACAGTTAATGAAGTTGGAAATTACTGACAAAAGAAAACACAAAAACTCCATAAACACGTGGAAATTAAATAATGCCCTCCTGAAACTCACATTAGTGGAAAGTCCTCATGCCCAGGTCATGCTGAGGGCTTCTCACAGTCCTCCTTGCCCTGTGCCCGGGACAGCCCCTTCCTCAGCATGCTCAGGTCCTGGGCTGCCAGCGCAGCTGTCTCACTGCCTGTCAGTGCCTTACACCTGAATGGCTCCTCTGCCATGTTTGAAGCTCCCGCCTTGTCATTTTATTACCCAACATTATTCATCTGTTTTGCAGCGTGTTGAAGTTGGATTCTCCTAAGCAAGGCCTGGCCACAATACATGTGATTTCCTTTGTGGAGGCAAAGCAGTCCCCTCATTGTGCCTTCAGACAAACAATGACAGCTGTGTCCAGGTGCCAGGTTGCACCAGTAGGCTACCCACAAGGTCAGTGTCCCATCAGTGACCCGCACGTGGGCTCCAGTGACCAAAGACAAGGCTAGTGTTTAGCTGTGCCACTTTCAGAAGGAAACTGCCACATAAGAGAAAAACCAGCCCTAACAGACGAAGGTTCCTCCAGCTCAGTTTTATCATGAAACAGTACTTCTTGAAACCATTACAGCTGCTTATTTAGCCCATCAGAAGCGTTTCCACAAGGTGCCCTGAGGACACAACTGCTGAGAGCCTTGTATCCTGCGCGCGGGACAGGTTTGGGTGTGGACACCCCCCCCCCCATCTGACAGGACCAGGGGAATGCCTCAGGGTTAGTGGACTCAGCCCTAGAGGGTGGTAGCTGATATAGTCAAGCTCCCTGCACTCTTTGGCAAGGGCATGGGAGGGACTTAGCATTTGGAGCTGGGACATCCTCCCACCTAACCCTTGCTGTCTGACATGCCTTCCCTGTGTCCTTAGCTAGAGCTGGGCCCTTGACACACTTGCCTGCCCACATGCTTCCTGGTGGGAAGGTGTCAGTGTTAGGCAGGCTCCGCTTTACGCTCTTTATCTTCTCCCACCAGTAACGTCCAACTTTCTTTCCTGTTATCGCCTAAGGGTTGACCTTTCCTTCCCTCACAAACTCCACTGTGAGTTCCACAGCCCAGGCCTCCAACTCACCAGGAGAGCCATACTCGTGCCGGGGCAGACGGCAGATCTTGGGCATCACCTCCATCAGTGTCTTCACGTACTGCAGGATCGTGCCCTGGAGCTAGGGAGACAAAGGCTGTTGGCCACAGCACCACTGTGAACAGGTATCTCCTGGCAGAACGTGCAGTGATGACAGTCTGTGGTGCTGCTCTGGCAGGGAATGAAATTCCACTGGGAAGGAGCTATGACCAGGTGTCCCCACGTGGCTGGACACAGTCACACTATAAATCACACCGCCCCTGAGATACAGGGCCTCTCGGGTGCCAGAAGAGAGCAAAGAGCCAGGGCTGTCAAGCACCTTCTCTGCAGATGCACCATCGCCACCAAGAGCCCTGTAGCCCTCCCAGGACAGTGGGCAGCGCTGGGCTCTTCTGTGGGTCTGGTACAGCTTCAAGGCTGGCTTGTGTCACTCGTGCTCAGCCCCAGGCCAGGAATCTCCACGTCCTTAGGCCTGTCACATGTGAGGGTAAGAACTTCCGGCAGGGGCCTGGCACAGCCTGGTAGGTCTTAGGATCAGGGACCAACCTGCTAGGTTCTAAAAGTTCAATCCTGACCTGTGCAGCTGGAGATTGCACTTCTCACAATTCTGTTAGCCTCTGTCTTTACGTACAAAGCTATCTCATTTCCTCGATCACCACGCCATGCAGATGGCCGCAGTCTCAAGCTTTTTTCTTTATTTTTATTTCTTGTATTTAGTACAGGGTCTTACTACACAGATCGGACTGTTTTCCGTCTCCCGAGTGCTGGGATCACAGGCGTGCACCACCACACCCGGTCTCAGTCGCTGTCTTAACACGCCCTGAAATGCCGGGAATGGAACCCCAGTCCCTGCGCTTGCCTAAGCAGGCACTTTAATCCACTGAGCTATGTGGCTGGCCCCTCATGCTTTTTCTTGACTGGTGGCTGAACCATGGGAGTGACATGAAAATCTATACTTGGTGATAAGAGTAATATACTCTTATAAGGAAGGCAATATGGTAATTTAAAAAATGCCTTCTGTGAGTCAGTTAAAATAACCTGGATGCATTCAGGTTTTTTTTTAAATAACAAGGTCAGGCGGGATCCAAACTCCTGGGCTCAAGTGAATTCCTCCATCTCAGCCTCGTGAGTGGCTGGTATCACAGGTTACAAGTGTGGTGGATCTACTTTCTTAAATGGGGGAAAAATTGAAGTATCAGAAATGTTTGCAACTAAATGGAATCATTCACCTGGTGGAGACTCAGTTCAGAGAGGTGTTCTGGTGGTTCTGGCCAGGGACGGAAGCTACTTCAGGGCAACTCACCAGGCTCTTGACAACCTTCAGCAGCTCTTCCATGACCACCGCAATGCCCTGGTAGCCAAGCAGCCGGCAGATGACTTGAAAATGTGGCGGCCCCACAAAGTTCCGGTAGCTGCCATAAATGCTGGAGTAGGCCAGGTTCAGAGCCTGGAACAAGCGCCGGAGTTGTAGTAAACAAGCCCCCCCCACACACACACACACAGGAGAGCAACAGGACGCACTCAACACCCTGAGCTAATGATCTGATGACTTTGTCAAACGTGCAGCCCTTACAGGACAGAGGTCTTCAACCTGTCGGGAAAAGCAAAATTGCTAGAACACATCCTGATGGGGCAGTGGAACCTGGAGAAGCCTGGCAGCCCAGGGGCTGGGGGAGCACGGGGAGGGGCCCGCCGAGCTCCACCAGGGCACAGCAGAGCACAGGGAGACCCTAAAGTCACATTCACGCTGCTGTCCCTCTCCACACTTCTTTTTTGGGGATTGAACTCAGGTCTGTGCGCTTGCCAGGGAAGCACTTATTCCACTGAGCCATCTCCCCGGCCCCCTTCTCCACACTTCTTGAGCCACATTCTAGACGTTTCATGCTATTTTCTATTTTCCTTCAGTGACTGTACTTTCTAATTTCCCGGGACTGCCTCTTGACCCCTGGTTATGGAGAAGTGTGCTCACCGTCAAACGTTGGGAGAATTTTAAAAAATCTTTTGTTAAATGATTTCTAGTTTGAGTTCATGGTGCTTAGAGAACACACTGCACAATTTCAGTTCTTTCACTTTTGATGAAGTCTCCCCTGTGAGCCAGGACATAGTCTGTTTTGGTGAATGCTCCTGGCCCTTTGGAAGCACTGTGTTGTGTTGTGCTGGGGTGCCGCGCATGAGCTGCCAGGTCCTGTTGGTGAACCTGGCAGCTCAGATCCTCGGCTGCTGCTCGTTCTGTGTTTGCTTGGTCACCTAGGGGCCCTCGGGTGGAGATGTTCCTCCGTCCTTTCGTGGTTTTCAGCTTTTGTGTCTAGTGCAGAAGCCCTATGGTTTGTTGTAAGACATCTGGAGTTGCTATTTTCTTGGTGGTTTGACTCTTTAGCACTAGCTAGTATCCATGGTAGTAATATACGCACTCACTTTATTATGATGAGTGCTGTGTCTTTGTTCCAGGGTTTTACTTTACACCCACCCGGACCGTTACCAAGAACTGAATTTTTTGGACCATATCACCTATCCATCAGTCAGTGGCTCACAGAAGTAGAGGGTCAGGGTCTTCACGCTGAGTGAATAACCAGCCCTTTTTAAATTTAGACAAGGTCTTCTTAAGCCATTCAATCTGGTGTCTAACCTATGATGCTCCTGCCTCTGTCTCCCAGAGTACTGGGGTTGCAGACAGTACCACAACGCCGGGCTTTGTTTATATTTAATACGTTTACACATAACGCCCGATATGTTAGGGCCTAAGCCCATTTTCTTCTTTCATTTATTCAAATGTCTGCAGTAAGCCCTCAGTTTAGGAACATCTGAGTTGTGAACTCTGTGGAAGACTCACTTTATCGGATACGAAAGAATCCAACTTGGGGACAGTCTCCTGGAACATAAGCCCTTTGTAAGGCAAAAACTTACTGGATATTCACTGGATACAGGACACGCCTTAATGCTTTTTACCCCGTCCTCTCCCTGCGCCCTGTCCATTCCATTTCATTTCATTCTTTCTGCCTTCCTGTGCCCTGTCAGAGTTTACAACTCCCGGGGTAGAGTGCTGAGCATATATGTGACTCCGGGGAGACCTGCAGAGGCCTGAGCCTGGTGCCTTTTTACCCTGTAGGACTCTGATTGGTCTTCTGGCTCCAACAGAGTGTGACTGTGAGCACCAATGACTGAGTCCAGGTAGTCCTAGCACATCGCTAGATGTGCAGGTGGTTGCTGGACCCAAAGCAGGGCCTGAGTGTCAGTGGACCATGGATGGCCTCATCTGCCAACACAAGAATCTGTGATCCTGCCCTGATAAGCAGCCCCAAGCCGTAAGCCTGGAAGAACCAGAGTCTGGCTCTTGCGCTCAACAGCTGCCCGCCCTGTCCTTGGAGCTCCACCTCTAGTAAGGTGTCTGTGCACAGTGGGTTCAATGCCCAACACACCCCAGAAAACCACATAAAAGTCCTCAGTGGACTCTTACGGGCCCATGTTCCACGTAAGCTCACCCCGGCACTGCCTCGGCTGCCAGAAGCCACTCCTGACTTCCCTGCAGACAAAGCCAAACCCAGAGAGGACTTGTCCCAGAGGCAACGCCTGGCTCAGGCAGTGGCCTGAACTCGGGGCTGATAGTGAGTGAAGACTGAGCTACCTGGGGAGCACCTTGGACACCCAGACTGAGCCCAGCACAGGAAGCCCTGACAGCTGTTGGAGGGCCCCCACTCACCAGGCCACTGTTAAATTCACAAAGGACGGGTTCCTGTAGCTGCCAGTCTGGTACAACTGTGCAGTGTTTCCTTTGTCCCTGACTGGATCCTAGGTGTGCTCTGAATATGGTGCCCCGTATCCGGAGGCCTGGCCTAGGCCTGCACGTCTCCGCACCCCTGAGTGCTACCCTACAGCTTCTGTAGAGCGCAGTGTTTGCATACCCTGCCATCCTCCCAGTCCCGAGGTCCTTCAGTTACCCTCATGCCTTGACACCTTAAATGTGCTGTTTAGGGACCTGGGGTGAGCAGAAATGGCCGTGCGTTCAGTTACACTGTTTTTTCCCCTAACTACTCTAAGCCCTGCTTAGCTAAATCTGTGAGCGCTAACCTTCAGTAATACCCCTGGGCCTCTGTGAAGGTTCATTAGGCACAGCGCGGGGCTCTGTCCGCTCAGGACAAGAGGCTGCTGGCTGCGTGAGGAGGTCAGAGCTGCCTTCCACGTCTTCCACACCACCCTGGCCTTCGGACGGCTGTCCTGGCCCTGTCTCACCATGCTGCTAGGACTCTGCCGGCACCTTCTTAGCTAAGTGTTTTTAAACCTTGAAGCCTCCAGACAATCTCACTCATTCTAATAGCAGAACTGAGACTGGACACACGCCAACATATACTATATGTCCAGAGTCCATAGAAGCTAAACTAGTTCCGGGGGATGCCTTCCTGAGCTGTCTCTCCCCTTGCTTTCTCCCCCCTGCCCCATTTTTGTCTTTTTGAGACAGGGTCTCACTATGCAATTTAGGCTGGCCTTGCACTCACTCTGAGCCCAGGCTGGTGTCGAACTCACAGGATCCTCCTGCCTCAGCCTCCTGAGTGCTGGGATTACAGGCATATACCGCCACATCTGGCCTTCCCTACCCTGTTTTAAGTCAGCCTCTCACTCTGTTGCCAAGGCTGGCCTCTAACTTCAGGGCCCAAGCAGACCTCCTGCTTCAGCTCCTCAGGCAGAAGTCACCATGCGGGTTCCTGTTCTACATTACTCAGAAGGATGTTAATGGAATGGAAGAAAAACTACTTTCAACAAAGCATGATACATTTAAGTCACGGTAACTGAATGATTTAAAGCAAATGTCAAGCCAGCACAACATGTACCTGTAATCCCGGCAGCTACTGAGGTGGCCGAGGCAAGGACCACTTGAGACCCGCAGGGGCAACAGTGGGAAATGCCCAAAATTTTAAAAATTAAATTTCAAATTATGTGTATGATAATATAGGGGAATGTACACGAAACACCTACCTTGGATCCATGCAAATACTGGGGCTGTGCATTAGGCTGTTTATCTCTCTGAAATTCCTGAGAAAATGGCAATACTGTCCGAACAAACCTAAGCAGGAAAGGTAAAGAAGGAACTTTAATGTAGGCTCTTTAAATTCAGAACTTGCCAGTTACCCACTGTTAAGTTGTCCTCCCAGCTAACTGACACAGTCCTCAAGTGTCGCACACCAGGAACCGTCACGTGGACTTGGCACACACTCCCTGAGTCACAGCAACTGTCCATAGCTCAGGAGCCAGAGTAAAGGCCTGGAGTCCACAGACGCAGGCTCCAGCTTGCGAGAGGCTGAGCAGGGCGGCAGAGCTGCCACGAGCCCCACACGGTCGCAGGCCAGTGGCAGCTGCCTCCTGGCTGTCAGACCTCAGGGTGACGGAGACAAGCACCTGTGACGGCAGTGCCAGCCCAGTCACCCTTCCCATGGCTGCGGAAGCCAGGGTTGCAGTTATGACCCAGCTCGGTCAAGAAACTGCATCTTGGGCTGGAGAGAGTTTAGCGGTCTAGGCGCCTGCTTGGCAAATCCAAGGACCTGGCTTCAACCCTGGTACCACCGCTGTGCCCGCTCCAGACCCCCGAGCATGCTGTGCCGGCCACCGAAACCAGGTGTGGTGGCGCACGCCTGTCATCCCAGCCCTGGGAGGCTGAGACTGGAGGATCACTATGAGTCTGAGCTGCGCATGGGACCCTATACCAAATACATAAATAAAAGTTTTTTTAAAAAGAAGTTGCATCCTAGTCACAGATCGGGAGTGTTTTCAATTGAGTGGTAAATTTTTAAGCAGAAATGTCAAGGCTGGCAGGCACTTGCAGCTCTAAAGGGTGCCAAGCAGAAGAGGTGCAAGAGCTGGCCCAGAATGAGGCAGTTCTGAGTTACAAAAATGTGAAGCCCATCGCTGATCGAGCATAGCCTGAGGTGGCATCCCTGATTCTGAGTGTCACAAACACCTGAAAGCCAACAGGCATCTGCAGGGCAATACGAAGGTAGGGACTCACTGCTGTTCACAATAAAAGACAGGTGATAGGAAACAGGGAGAAAGGGTAAAGGGAGATAAAAAGAATTAAGAATATATTCATGTATCATGACATATGTATTTATTATGTTCTGTAAACATATACTTAAAAAAGTAAAAAAGAACTGGGCACAGTGCTGTGCACCTGTAATCCCAGCACTTGGGAGGCTGAGGCAGGAGGATCACCGAGTTTGAGGTGAGCATCAGTTACCCAGCAAATTCAAGGGCAATCTGGAATACACAGTGAGATTTTGTCTCAACAAATGTTTTTTTTAAAAAGAGTTGTTCAGTCACTAGAGTACCACCTGATTCACCCATAGGTGCTAAGACCACCTCATCAGATTTCAGCAAGCACAGCTTCTTTAAAGTCTCAGCTCGAAAGAACACTTGTGCCTCAACGGTGGGAAGCAGGCAGCCCTGCTCTGACCCGGGGCATTCTGGGACTCCACGCAGCCCTCAGGACACTGCCTCCTGTGGCCTCCTCCCACGGGTGCAGGGCTAAGTTCTACCACATTTCTCAGGAAGCCGCAGCCCCGAGGCCTGGAGCTCTGCGCTGGGGCACGTGGCTGTGCGCGTCTTCCCAGCTGCCCGACGCAGCATGAAGATGTAAACTTCAGGCGTCTGAGGCCTTTTCCCGACAGCAATGCCAGGGGCGCACCTGTGAGCAGTGTCCACATGATGTCCGTGAAGCCCCCAGCTAGGCCGGAGTGCTGGCGACAAGGTGGCCCACGGCAGCCCAGGCCGGGCCATCAGGAGCCCATCACTGCATGCTGACTGCTAGCAGGTAGGTCCCTGCGAGAGCACGCTGGGGGCAGAATGGAGGCCGGCAGAGGCTCCCGTGAGGTGGGAGCTCAGAGTGCCTGGCAACCCTCCAGGGGCCGTGGTCTGCAAGTGAAGACACAGAACAGCGTGGCCGAGGTCAGCTGTGTACCTTGTGTCAGAGGCAAGAAAGTGTGAGGGTCGGGACACCAAACAGCAGGCAGCCACCTGGTGGCTGGGCTGCACCCCCACTGCGCCCTCATTGCTGAACAGGGCTTTCAGCCTGGGGAGCCTCTGCCATCACTAGAGGTGGCCCTGTGATGACGCGGCCAAGGGTATCCCGGGGCCAGGGGGGCAGGCTAGGGACACTGCTCAGGCCTACTACAATGCACAGGACAGTGCTCGTGAGTGTGCCCGGCACTAGCATCACTATGGTTGCCTGACGGGCAAGCCTTCTTAGGGGCTCCATCCTCCCCAGCCCTCGCCACATGGCTGTCTCCAGGGTCGCACGGGGCCACCCTAGGACAAGAGCCCACATGGTGTCCCCTGCTATGGTACATTAGGTGGAAGGAAGGTCCCAGCTGATGACCACCAGCCACTGTGGCCAAGGCCGTGTGGGCACAGAGCCATGTGCATCGTGGCCCACTGAACGCCTCTCCCTGCAGCCTGGGCTATGGGCGTGGCTGAACGCAGGTGCATCCTGCCACACAGCACGCAACTGCAAGGCTTCCTGTGACATGGAATCCCACAGGTGCCAGCCCTTGCACTGCCAGAAAGGCCCTTCACGTTTACAAGGGAAAGACGGCCAAAGCCGGAGGCCGGGCAACCTCAGAATAGCGAACGTTCCAAAAGCGTCAGTAAGGACAAGTGCTGCCTCCCGCCCACCAGCCGCGGGCCACAGTGACCAGCAGAGGAAGGCTTCTGAGAACACAGGCCGGGCTGGAGAGCACCTGCAGAAAGCACACAGCAGCTGTGTCTTCGTCAACATGGAAGAGTCCTTGTGATGTGACATGAGCAGGGACCGTGTGACAGCATGGCTGTGACCTCACTGTCGCAGGACACAAAACACGTAGCCCCTGGGGGCTCCGGCTACTTGCATTAAATGGTGCTGTGCTTGCACAGCACCTACGCAGCACACCCTCTGTGGGTGCTGTCTTCTCCAGAGCTGCGTTGGTCTAGCATGATGGCCGGCTACGCTGTCGGGCAGCACCTCTTCTCCCTTTAGCAGCTGGTTTGCTCCTCCTCCTAACTGTGGGCCTAAAGCCAGTACCGACTGAGCCAATGGAAAGCAAAACAACTCTGAGCTTTCAAGGTCC